TGTTATTTTTGTTCCTCTTCTATGTAGTTTCTTGGGTTTTTCTCATATTCCTCTTGCTGGTTAGACACATTGTAGATTTTTTTGTCCTTGTTATGTTTTAAAAACTCCTGACACCTCCTGGACTATCTTTAGTTGTTCAACATCTTTCTAGAAATTCAGTGTTCTTGTTAAGACAAAGATCACCACCTCCTCTGTGATTAGAAAATGTAGTTAATGGGTTCTCACACAAATTGAATATCAGTAAATTTCCATAACCATTCTTTAAGAGTTTGAAAAAACCTAATAAAAATTCCTGACCTTAACTAGCAATACAAACTTCACCTTCTCACAAATATAGATGGTGTCACTCATAGATATCTGTGATATCTATGATGGCACATCACTTGATACTGTGGTCAATATTGAAATAATGTTGACATTTAAATTATCCTTTGTGCTTTTTAAATTAAATAGCCTGCCAAAGATGTTACTTAGGTTACACTAAGAGTCTACCATAGATAAATGTTGGTAGAATATTAAATTATTTTTCTTGCTACTGGTATTTTATTGGTCCATATATGTTTTATTATGTGTTGTTGTCTATATCAACATAATGTGCTGTGCACTCACTAATATGAGTGGGGAAGCCTACCTTTTTCTTTGTGTTCTTGTTTCGTATTTCTGGTTTGGGGCATACAGTGTCTACAGATGTTGCTCATTTGCAGATGTCGAAATTTGAGTTTTCCAGAATTAAACAATACTTCCTTAAGCATTGTGCCTGTAACTAAGACACATCAACTTAGTAAATCCATGCAGGTCAGCGCAGATCAGTCGTACTCATTAAGAAAATGCAGAATTTAAGTTAATGGAAAACAGCTTGTGGTGAAAACTTGTATAAATATCTTTTTTTGTGTAGTTTTGGCCTCCACAGTAGAAGTGGTAATTCATGGGGGATTTTGAAAGGAACTTTCTCTCCAAACATTTAGTTTATGGGCGCCTTGCACATTTATTCAGCTGTGCAGGATGATGCCCTCATGTGCTGATAGAAATAATACCCATTTGTACAGCAGATCTCGCTTCTCAGTTCAGCCCCAGTGAAGGAAGGGGTCTTCAGAGCTATTCATGGCATTGTATGGCATAGTATAACCTCACCTTGACACAACGTGATTTAGGGAAGTCTCAAAACACAAGCTGTTAGTCAAGCAGGGAGGAGGAACTCAGAAGTGAGGACATTAGTGGTCACCTTAATGTGTCAGCAGAGTTGAAAGTGGTAACCTGAAACTCACCCTGTGAACATCTTGAGCCTCGTTTTGCTCTGTGGTTGCACAGTGCTGGGCTCAAGACTATTTGTAGATGCTAATACACTGCTAGTGCTGTTTAACTAATAAACATCGTAGTTTCTTGCTCGTGCAGCATCTTGAGCGAAATTGCACTTGTGACAGATTGGGCATGAAACTGCCAAACACAGGGAGGTTCTAGTCAGTCATTAATGATTAAGTGCATGAACTGTCAGTGAATAAATGGCTTTTATGCGCTAATACTCTGTGTGGATGATTTTATCTTTGCATTCATTTATTTGCTAGGATGCCATTACACATGCATAAAGTATCGTTTGCATGCACTGCCACATGTAACACAGCAAGAGAAACCAAGAAGCCAGTATGTTTCTGAGAGATGGTGGAAAGCAAATCAGGCTCCATAAATTAAGCTAAATGACAGCAGTAAGCAGTAAACTGTGATGTGGGAGCCTGAACTGTGCACTTAACCAAATGAAGGTCTTTTATTACGTCACCTGAAAATGATGAATCTGATGGTTTTATCAACAATTTATCTCTATGGAAACTCCTGTGTTCAAATACATGTACTCACTGTGTTTTGGTTCAGATTATGGAAGTTGGTTATCTAAAAAGTACCAGAAAATATCAAAATTTCCAATACTGGCTATTAGCAAAAGCATTTTTAATTTTTTCGTCATCTATACCATAAGAAATGTAAAGTGATTTTTCTCATTAATCTTTGAATGTTTACACATAATTATTATGTAAAAGTATGATAGTGCTATTTGTAAGAAAGATTATAAGGCCCGTATGATAAGCAGTGTTCTCAGTTCCTATTCTCATAATCATATTTCCATTAATCCATCTTCCTTAGGGTTCAGTTTAACAGTTCAGTCTCCTGAGTGATTTTGCTCTGCCTCATTAGCCTGAAACAAACTGAAAAAGCAGATTTGCGATAACAGATTGCCTTCTTAGTTCGAAAAAATCCATATCAAATCTGTTTTCAGTCAAAGCATGTCTGGATAATTTCTGATTAGGTTTCAGTAATAAGCATGGGCTTCCAATATCTCCTGTTTAAGAAGAAGTAATTCCCATCGTTCCAGTTCCTGCAACTTTGGAAACTTGCAGAATCTTCACATTGTATCTTTACAGAGTTATTTTAATTTATTCATTTAAGATGCTTTACATTTTTTTTCCTCTCCTGTGGAGCCTTGTATTTATGAGGTAATATTATGATCTCACTGAAAGTGAGCTACTTGAGCTAACAATGATGTTCAATGGAGCCAGGGTTTCACCCGTAGTATCTAGTAAAATAAGCAATTATTTTATATGAACAACAATTAGTCTGTATCAACTGTTTCAAAATTTTCTGAAGCCACCCAAAAGAGGATTTATGTACTTCTTATATATTTCTAAAATATTTATATAACAGCAATACTTGCCAACAGTGAGTTTTACTAGGTACTGTACAGAATTTTGTGTATTACAAAGAACAGAAAATCCTGCATTCTGGTAAAGTGTTTATGGATACTTCTTCGTGGTGGCTCTGCAAAACTTTAAAAGGAAGCTTTAGCACAAATGGGTGTAACCTTTAATTACATGTAGGTATCATAAAATGAGACCTGTGAGAATTGGACTGGAAGAGGTTTTTGAGACTTATAGGAGTTGTAATTAAAGTATTTATGGTACCATATTTCTCCTGAGACATCTTGAATTAAATACTGTACCTCTTAAAAACGGCTCTGATGGGGTGAGAGCCAAGCTTGAGCAGTGTCAGAACTGCTTCTGAATGGAGGCTGGGAAAATGAGCAGCATTGTTTTAGCATCGCTGCTTCTACTTTAAGCAGTTGTCCTTTCTTAGATTACTGTCATATTGACCTTGAATCCTGTACCACCTTGGCCTCACTAAAAATTTATTTCAGTGAGATGTTAAAACTGTGTCTCTCTAGAGAAGTGGACAGGATTTTTCATTCCTTTTCCACACCTGGAAACACTTTTCAAGTTCTCTTAAGACACCTTATTTTAAAAAAGTGTTTCTTTCTGTCCTTAGGCACTGTACAGACGTTATTTGCTGTGTGATCTTCATAGTCGTCATTCTGGGTTACATTGCATTAGGAATTGTGGGTAAGTAAATGCAGGACTGGTAGTGCTTTCTCATACACGGGGAAGCAACTTTGTGAATGTTAGAATTTTTAACTGAGGTGTCCCTTTTGCTCATATCTATGTAAAGCTTTCCAATCAATAGGCAATGCCTTGCCTAGAAACAAATAATCAATTAACATTCAGTGCCTATCGTAATTAGGGAGAAGTTCAAAACCATGTGTTTACTGATGAAAAACTCAAAATTAAGTATGTTCAAGTAAAAATGACATGGTTTGATAATTTTGCTATCATAAAGTAACTGTGGTAGGAAAAAAATCACTTATTTGTCATTAATCTGAGCAAAAGTTAGAGATAAACACTTTGGTTTTAAGAGGCTTTTTGTTCTGTAAAATATTACTGAAAGAACCTATGTAAGCAGTAAAAGGAGAAGTAAGAGAAATTACTTCATTTATTGTGGGATCCAGAGTTGTTTGCAAATCAGGATATTCATTAATAATAGCCATTTTATTTTGTTTGTGAGAGAGAATTGTATGAATGCCTGTGTGTGAAAGGACAAATGATGCTGTAAAAGTGTGTTTACTGTGTATCTGCCTGTCTGTCTGAGCTCTTTCAATTTCCTTGTAAAAGATTGTTTTGCCCTGCCTTACACAGAAGAAAAGCCATTAGTTTTCTTCATAATCCTGTAATACCATTTTCTGTTCTGTAGAGAGAAAAGGTTGTGCAATCTCCATCCTTGGGGATATTCAAAAGCTGTGTGGATGTGGTCCTCGGCAGCCTGTTTAGGTGACCCTGCCTGAGCAGGGGTTTTGAACAAGACGACCTCCAGAGGTCCCTTCCAAGCCCAACCATTATGTGAAAAGCTGCTGTCTGTAGCATGAAAAAATGACTGTAAGCAAGACTGCTTTAACCTAGGTGATTCCAATAACTGTCTGAGAGAATACTTTATCCTCCCACTAAATTGTAGGGTAACATAACATCCTCCAAGCCACAATGCTGAGCTGTCTCCTCTCACCTTGCCTGTAGTAGCTGAGCACTGAACACATTCTGAAAAGTCTGTTCTCTCTCTCAAGCACTGGGAATTCTCTGTGTGTATTTTTTCTTTCCCTTATTCACCTGCACTTACTGCCCCATCATGAACCTTTATGTCTTCAGGAAGACGGAGAAGTGAGGAAGCAAATGGTATATACCAGCAAGTGAGAGAGGCATGGAGGACCTTTGCAAGGAAGTGCAAAGCCCGCACTAGGAAGCAAACACCAGGGTAACAGATGGCTGATGATCCTTGCAGGTGGAAGAAATTATTTCTTTTCAAAACTCTCTGTTTTATTCCTTATCTAATCTCTTTGAGCCTCTGTTTCCCAAAATTGAATGATAACTTGAGATCGATGAATGTAAGAAAAATGGGCAGAGCAAAAAGTGAATTCAGAAGCTGTTCAAGCTGTACTTGATTTTATGCCATGCTTCTAGAGATTACAACAGCTATAGGATTCTCTTTGGGATTGGATCCGGGAAGACTGTGCCTAACTGTACTGCATGGCATGATTGTACAGTCAGCTTCAGACTGACTTGAAATGCAGTCCTCTGACAATTTTTTCACAAATGATGTGAAATGATGCTTAAGTTAACATCAGTGGTATCTGTGTGGAGACAAGTCCAGGATCTCTTTGTTTTGTAGCCACTACTGGATTCTGTGTATGCAGATCATGCATGTGCTCTCTCATCACAGTTCTGGCTATTGTTTGGATCCTGTGGGCCCTTTCCTTTGCTATGGAATGAAGCATTTTCTTTCCCTCATGGCATAATTGAATTGTTCTTACTTTGCTTAAATCCAAATCGACACTAATGTTCATTTGACTTGTGGAAGTATTTGGAACAGAAATATTCACGTGACTCCCAGTTACAGGAGATTGGAGAGGGACTTACCAGAATATACATGCAATATATATCTCTGGTTACTAAACCTGCTCTGGAATAGACTGAAGAAAAGGAGGTAAATTGTTAGTCCTAAGAAGCAACAGTAGCTGCTGGACTGTGCACAGCTGTTGCAGACCTGCCATGCCTCCCACTTGGTGCTGGGAGTATGCCGTGTCTGAAGGACATCACTCTAATGTCTGTGCTGTTGTCCTCCTCTTTCTACCTGATTGACTGATGATTCTTTGATGTTCTGCTCTGTCCTTCTGTCACTTCTCAAACACAAAGCCAGAACTGAAGAAGCTGGACTCAGATCAGAGGAACATTTGTTGTTTTCTTGAGCATACAAATGCTCTGGTGACTGGTGACCTGCCCCTGTGCAGACAGGCAGTATTCTGAAGTGCTGCTGCCTGGACAAAGGGAAAGGAGAGCATTGGCAGTTTCTAGCTGTATGGTATTCTTGTGCTGCCAGATCTTGGCTCTCTTTCCAGCACTATATAAATCTCCTTAATTTTTTGGCTAGAACTTTATGTCAACTTTCTATGTGCAGTTTCCAAAGAACCCCATATGGTAGATGTTGCAGAAGTAGATAGCAGCAGAAGAGGACTGGCCAGTTCCTCGCTTCTTCATGTCTGTGATCTCAGACAATGTAGTTACTGTGATGTGAGACAGTGAATTGGTCATATTCCCTGGTCTGCACATGCAGTGGTTTCCTACTGGACACAAGGCGTCTGAACAGCCTTCTCTTGCAAACCTTATGAAATATTGGTTAGAACTAGAACCTGTTCCTGGAACCAGGTACTGAATTTGTAGCTGGTGACTTTTTCTACCTTTCTTACAGAGAAGATTTGAATTTTCAATCTAGAAACATTTAGTTCAGCTCCAAATCCAGATGCACGTGGTCCCTGCTTTTCATCTTTCCTTGTACTGTACTTCAGCTATTCTTCTTACTCTAATTTATTTCTAAGTAAAAGATGAGATCAGCTTTGGTACAGTTCCAGGGGCCAGCCCTGTACAAAATACGTGAGAGTCAAAGAAGTTCACATTAAGAGAAAACAGATTATAAATCAATCCTTAGTCATGAATTACGTCTTATTATAGGAAAAAAACCCATAGATTTCCGCAGTTTCTTGAATATGTGTGAATACCGCTCTAGATCCCTGTTTAATTTGGCTTGAGAAGTAAGCAATAAATGCAGGTTCATCACACAACTGCTATGACTGAAAATCTGAGTCAAATTTTGCCCTCAGTATTGTATGTATAGCTCACATAGGCTTCAGCTATATATGTGTCTGTGTAACAGTGGGATAGAATTTTTTTATGTTTCAGGGGGGCTGAAATGCAGTCTGAGTAAAAGGTAATCAATTCTCCTTGAAAGATGAAACCAAATGATTTTTGATACTAGCCTTTCTTCGTTCTGCTTCAGTGATGGCTGCTGTTGAGTGACTGTACTGAATAGAAATAGCTATTCTATGTTTTACTTTCTTATCAATCTTTTAACTTTACAGATGAACTAATAGTGCTAATTTAACATTCCGTGTAGTTTTCCTTCCTATCAAACTGCCTTAACTCTTCATGTTTATTTCAGAGACACTGGGCTTATCTGGGCAATACTTTACAAGTGTTTAGCCTCTTAATTTAAGATCATTTTAATTCAGAGAAGTGCACATAAAAGGCAGCAAATAAGTTATCTTGGAAAAGAGCCTCACATTCCAAAGGACAGGTTAATTCAAAGTAATAACTCTTGTATTGCTCCAAGGGATGCTTATACAATACCAGTGTTATCAACATGGATTTACAAATTCTGTGTCATGTGTTCTATTACCTGTTTCAATACATTAGTAAATTGCTTGTGTTAAAAAGCCATAAGAACAATTTGGCAGGTCATTTTCTCCATACATAAAAACATTCAAAATATACCTTTAAGGGAAGCAAAATAATGATATGAAAGACTGCCCTTTCAAAAATACACAGCAGAGGGAATGAGACAGATAGAATATACACATTTGCAGTTCATTTTTAAGTATCATAGGATGCCATCGTTCTAATCATATTTTCTTCTTGACAATGAGCTTTCTAGCCTTTACAACCACTGACATAGCCCATAGAGCACAGAAAAAAAGGAGTGCATCTGATAGACATTTAGTGACAGACATTAGCTATTTTTGATGCTGTCCATGTGTGTTGGCTCCACATCAATAAAAGGACTGACATAACTGCAAGCCTCCCAAAAATGCTATACCGGTGTCATAGGATGTCACATTGCTGCTCTGAGGGTGAGTCAACTGTGTAATATGGTTCAGCTGTTCTTTAATTTTCTTTTTTAGCCCAGATGTTTGTGCCAGCACTCAGGCTGCAGCCTTATGAGCATCAGAGCATGCTGGAATAAAACTTTTATGTGACTGGATTCCTTTTCATTTAGTGCTTGATAGTGAGCCACCAATAGTGCAGCACAACATGCAAAACATGGTGCTGCTCTGTCAGGCTAGTTCTTGCAATAACCTTCTTCACTCAGTGAGAACTGTTGAATTAGGTACTTATTCTTCAGTGACTAGGCCAGAAAAATTGTGTATTTATCACATGGATTCTTTCACTGTCATGGCTCTAAGTTTGCAAAGAGGGTGACAGAGGATTAAGTTTATTAATCTTGATGGTTAGCCCTGGCACAGGCAATGAAAGGAGCTGTTTATTTTCTCTTCTGTTGGTCATTTCCCTTCTCTTTCTGCTGCAGAGTTAATTAAATGCTAAATGTGTATGTTGTAAATCAGACCCAATTATTTTTTGTTTCACTTTGGAATTTAGCTGAGAGGCATCTTCCTCCATCCACCCCAGCAGCTGATCCCAGTGATGGAATTTCACAGTGTGCTAAATCTACTTTTTAAAAGTAGATTCTTTATAATACTGTTCTATTAAAAACATGACTGAAGCCTTAGGCACACAGGACAACTACTGCCAAGCAGGAGTAGTTTTAGACAATTCAATAATGGCAAAGCACGTACAGTCTGAACAGAAATTCTATTCAGAAGTGAGCAGTGTGTTCCATTGTTTATACTCTGCTAATTTCTACTAATTATTGAGAAACACTGCAAAAGATGAGTGATTAAATTTGAGACCAAGGATTGATACAAACCTAGTGAAACCAAGGGAGCCTTTTGAAATATTTTAGCAGACTTTGTATTAGAACTAAAAAGAATGTGAGGAGAATACACTGCTGTGCCCATTTGATGAGCTGAGTGTTATTCTTGTTGGCTGTGTTAGTCCACCCAAACAGGCTGAAGGAAGTAAGCCTGGGTCACATGGGCCCTTCTTATGGAAAGATCCTTAATAAGACTAAGATAGCAGAAAAACCCCAACCAACATTACGTTGTAGTGTTTATCTCCTTTCTCCCAAGTTTGTCTGAGGAGTGAAAAATAATTCTAGGTTTAATATGCTACTTAGGAAAGGGATATTGTTGACAGCAGCAACTACTTCCAAATTATCTATATGAAGCAGATAGAAGTCTTGCTACAGAATTCTTGTCAGTACTTTGCATCTGCCATGGTAGCGCTTATCTCTACTGCTTCCTGTTTTGCTGGTGTTAAAGAAAAAATACAGTCAAGTGTGAAAAATGAGTCCTTTTAATAATGTGCCAAACTAATTTAAAAAAACTAATTTTGGGGCTGGGAAAACACCGATGTATTAGTGTCATCTAACATCATACAAGTAAGGCCTGAAAGGTCTTTCAGGTCTGTATGGGAACTTGATCCATTTGGGACCAGATTTTACCTGTATGAAAAGCAAGGTCATATTAAAGTAGAAAGAAAAACTCCCTCTTGTCAGAGTCATGATGGAAGAAAGTATACATGGCATAACCTACAGACTCATTGCAATCACCAGAGAGTTGTCTGCTTTCTAATGTCCTGTACACATATGAGTTACCAACTGACTATAGGAATTCCTAAGAGAGAGTTGATGCCTCCTAAATGTTTCTATTAAGTAATGCTACTGAAATAAGTAAGTGGGGGCTAAAAAATGAAAAAGTAAACGGGGTTTAGCACTGGTGAAGCACTTCAGCTTTCTCTGAGCATCAGAACACCATGGTTAATCTGAAATGCAGTTAATCTGAATGTTCAGAAGGTGTTTGATAGCAAGCAGCAGGTTAATTCGCGAACTCCAAAACACAGGAAAACTAACATAGGTTAAAAAGAACTAGCAGATTCATTTTTGTAACCTAAAACCATTCCAGCTGAAAGGTAGCATTACAGATTCTCTGAAACTATTTGCGTTGAAGATACATTGTGCATCTGTCCTGAACATTTCAATAAATTTGCAGTCTGCTGCTCTGAGATCTTACATAGGTTCTGTCTCTACTGTACGTATCATTATTGTTAAGCGCTGTCACCAAAGTGACCTTGAGGAAAATGACAGTTTCACAAATGACTAAATATAATGTCGCAAAGTTGAGAGAAAATGGGGTAATTACAGAGAAGCAAGTTCAAGGTGGTTTGCATAGATCAAAGCCTAAAATGTATGCTAAGTGGGCTCCTGACATGCAGTATATAGTGCAAAAGGGGGAAGGTTGGGACTAAAATCTTTGTAATACCTGTAATCTTTTCCACATAATACAAGCACAAGGAAATGTTTGGGAGAAGATCAATGGTCTTTTCTAACAGTTCTCTAGCAACCTGGTTTTAGGGTGTCAGCTCAGGGTAGTGATATGGAATTATATTCTGGCATTATATCTTACTTTCAGATGATACTTAAAAATAAATGAAATTTCTGTTATTTAGGGTCAAATCAGCAGTTAGTAGGACAGTTCAAAGGCTAGTCATTGGCTAGTCATGAGGGAAGCTTAGTCAGGTATGCATGCTACAGCTTAGAAATAATGATATGAATAGTGATAGCTGGTGTGTACTTGATCCTCAACGGGAAATAATGGTGCAGGTGAAAATGGCTTGGAAAAGAAATCTTGCTTCGAAGTGGAGAAAAATTTAAAAGTTCAATATAAACCTCTTTTCCCATTCAGTACTATGGTTCATGCTAGCATATAATACATAAGTTGCCAGGTACAGACCTAGTAACTGAAAAGTGGGACAATTGCCATGTGAGAGGTCAGGAAATGTTTTCATTTACAAAGTGAGAGTTTGTTCCCATTCTTAGTGCATATGGACTCCTAGCCTGGTTTCGGCTGGGATAGAGTTAATTTTCTTCCTAGTAGCTGGTACAGTGCTGTGTTTTGGATTTAGGATGAGAATAATGTTGGTAACACACCGATGTTCTAGTTCTTGCTAAGTAATGCTTACACTAGTCAAGGACTTTTCAGCTTCCCATGCCCTGCCAGCGAGAAGCTGGGAGGGGGCACAGCCAGGACAGCTGACCCAAACTGGCCAAAGGGATATGCCATACCATGTGACGTCATGCTCAGGACATAAACTGGGGGGAGTTGGCTGGGGGGCGATGACCACTGCTTGGGCACTGGCTGGGCATTGGTCCGTGGGTGGTGAGCAATTGCATTGTGCATCACTTATTTTGTATATTCTTTTATCATCATTATTATTATTATGATTATTTTCCCTTCCTTTTCTGTCCTATTAAACTGTCTTTATCTCAACCCACGAATTTTACTTTTTTTTTTCCCGATTCTCTCCCCCATCCCACTGGGGGAGGGGCGAGTGAGCACACGGCTCTGTGGTGTTTAGCTGCCTGCCGGGTTAAACCACAAGTCCATTAGATTCAGTCACACCCTGTGTATTTCTGTCACACACCCAGGTAATCCCATTAATTTCAGTGCCATTGTGGTTGTCTGTGAACACTCAGATTTGCCTACATAGTTAGCTCCTCTTCTTTCCCCTTTTAATAAGCATTATTTTTTAAGTCTATTACATCATATTTTGGATACAACCCAGATATATGTGCCCTGAAGGTAAAAAGTGAACTGTTTTTTTTTCTTACTGATTCATTCATATCTTTGTTCAGTTTAGTTTGTTTCATATTTTAGTTTTCATTAGGAAATTTACAAATCAGTACTCTTCAGTGGTGATCAACAAAGATTAAAGTGGTACATTAGAGGTGATACGTTTTCACGCTAGTCAGTTTCAACTATTAACTGTGTACACTTGACTAAAATGTTAAAAGATACGTGTGTATTTGCAGCTTGGGTGCACGGTGACCCCAGGAAAGTGATTTATCCAACTGACAGCTATGGGCAGTTCTGTGGTCAGAAAGATACCCTCAATGAGTGAGTACTAAATCTATTCACATACGTTTATTACTCATGCACTATGAATAAGATGTGAGGTTTCAAATCTCTCTGTCTGCTAGGGGTTTTTGTGGGAAGTTGAAGAGACAGCGACACTCTTACTGTATTTATTCCAAATAAAGTTTAGAAATAGATTAGTTGCTCAGTGCAAATCTAGACCCAAATTATTACTATAATGCAGTTGTTTTCATAATTCAGATAATATTTTTGGTAAAGTATCAATATAACTTAAAGATTGCATCACTAATTACCTAGAAAGTGAAGCTGGCACAGCTTCTAACCACCAAAGTTTGGATAGTTAATAACCCGTTGAGTAATTCTTCTGTCCACCTTGGGATAGGAGTAGTCCTAAAGCATTGTAGCCTGGTTCTCAGTTTTTCTCAACATGCACCAAATAACAGAAAGGACTATAAGGAAAAGGTCTTTGTTTTTCTGGTGCTTATCCAGTGCCAGTAGAGAGGAGACAAGAGAGAGTGGTCTGGGAGACAGGCAGCTGTAACCATACCTTCCTTGGGGATATCAGCCAAATGGCTCTACTTGTCTCAGTTTCCCAGTCTTTTTAAATTTTGAATTGTAAGAGTTTAATTAGTTGATATCAACAAAGTACTTCTACATGAAAATAGCTGCTCAGGAAAGAAAGATGTTGCGTCAATGTTTTCTCTGAAAATCTAAGTGTTTTGTGAAACAGAATTTAAAAAATAGTTTGCTTTTTCCCCTCACCTTCTCCCTTTTAAAAAGTAAGTAATAGGCCCCCTTTATACCCTTGTCACTGTCAAGAAGCTGGATGCTATGCAGGAAGAAAAACAGAAGCTAGCGTTTGATAAGAGCTCTTTGCTGCTTCTCTCTTTACCCATTTAGTTTTCTGGGAAAAAAATGAGGAAGCCACTGTCCAAAGGGCAGTTCAGAAGGGGAGGAGCAAGAGACAGGGAGTGGAACAGAGGTAGAACTAGGACTTCATATCCTCTCAAGTTTTTTTTACAGAGGAAACAGACTAGATAGTGTAAGAAGACCTGATCCACCCTCTGACTAAGATTCTTCGCATCAGTTGTTGGAGAGTCCAACTTCCTGAAAAGGAAAAACTAGGAGAAAAAGTTGTAGTGTTGTGTGTGTTACCCTCATTGCACCCCTTCCCTGCTCCCCACCCTCCTTATCCCCAATTTGTCCTTGTTCCTTCTCTGGTCGGTAGGAAGCAGCGGGCAAACGGGTTTGGGAGTCTCAGACACACAGCATCCATGCACTGTGTGGCGTGTAGCCAGATTCTTCTCTCTGATTCTTATCATCCACTCCCATTCCCTCTTTCTCTTTGTTACTCAAGCCTTCCCTTTAGTTATTTCTTACAATGTGATTTCCAGTTTGTATTCACAAATGTCCCTCCATATATATGTTTGCTGGAGAATAACACAGCTACTGAGACTGCATTTTGGCACTTACTTGCTACATTGAGGAGTTTCTTATAAAAATATAAGCCAAAAGATACATAATACAACCTACTGGAAAAGCAAGAGTGTTTACGGCAGTAGGTCAGGAGGCCCCTCTGAACAAGTCCCTCTAGTCCCTAGAGGGAGTGGAGGTGTCGGATGTGCTTGTCAGCCCTTCATTGATACCATTGTCAGATTTTTCAGATGCCCTAAAAGTAAGCAGTCTGAAAGGCTAATCCAGGACTACGGTTTTCCAAAGTCCCCAAGGGCTTAGTCTGAGACTTTTTTCTTGGAAAGTGATCACAGTCTCTGTGTTTTGAATCTTGTGCTTGGAACAAGCGTTCCCAGAAATCTCACTGAGGAGTAGAAAGAGAAGCTAAAAACCAAGCCAACACTCATAGCTCATGCAAAACCCCATTTGAACTCCAGTGAATTCCATGCAGTCAAATTAATTCTACCTTGTGTTGTCATGCGAGTCTCTTAGGCCTCTTTGTGTCTCCCTGTAATCCATCCATTAATCTCCATGTAATCTCTAAGCTTGTTTTGCCTTCTGCAGAGCACAGCATAATCACGGAATACAACACAATTTCATTATAAAGAATATAGACCTAGTTCTCGGTGGCTGTTTTCTTGTGTTAGGTATAGGTTTAGACTTTCTTTTCTGCTGTCAGTATCAGCAAGTGGGCTAAGACATAAGAAAAAAAAAAAAGATGTCATTAATGGCTTTGAGCAGCTCACAGATTATAAATAATGTCAAGAAACTATTGAAGAATGATGACATTCCAGTCCAAAATTTTATTCTATTGATTTGAAGAAATAACAACTAACGATAGTGAATTGTTTTTGCCAGGATGCTTGTTTTGTTAAACAGTGCATAGTAGAACATACCTCAGTGAAAACAATTTAACCTTGTAAAATGTCAGGCAGTTGAGCTAATCCCAGTTTTAAAGGGAACTTGAATGTGCAGTGATGCTATATAATGGCTTTGGAGGCATAGCCATATGCAGCAATTGGTGGAGCCACGTGCTGGTGGAGGATCAGAGGATATGTCCTGGACTGGGGGAAACAATGGAGAGATGTGGGAGCAGGACTTATGCCAAGTCCGCAGATAGAAGAGGGGCAGCCTTGTTAGCCCAAGCACACTTCATTGTTAATACTGCCATCCTGCTCCCAAGGCAGAGCTCCCTCTGTGCTACATTGCCACAGTGGGGGTCAGTGGTGGCTCAAACACCGCTTACTGTGTTTTCTTGTACATCATAGGCCACAGGGGGGCATATGCACCATTATTTCTTATGGGGACACTGTATAGTCCTGGCATGGCTAGCTGACTTTGAAGTCTTGTGTAAAAAGGACAGGATACTGCCGTACCATCTTCACTAGAGCTATCTGATAATTTTCTGACATAGCAAAGCTTAACAGCATATTTTGCTGTCTTCAAAACCCAGGTGTTTAAATCCAGAGATCTTGGAGTAGTCAGTTTTCAACAAATCCAAACTGAGGTGTCAGCTACCTCAAGGTCCCAAGTTCCAGAAGCTGTCACACCCCAGAAGTGTGTGGATTCTGGGGTGCAAGCCCCTCAGACTGTCCCTTATTTATATCAAAGGAGGTTTATCAGTGTTATTAGCAGATGCTATTATTCTGTTTCCTGGCCAGCTGCTTTCGGTTTCCAACCATAAAAAGCTTTTGACTGATTTTGGTGCCACCTTCTGATCAACAAAAAATAGGCAGCTTTTACAGCGTAGCATTTGCTGATAGTAATTTTGCGTGCAGTACATACACAATATGTTCAGTGTAAGCAAAGGGACCACAGTGTTTTTGCAGGGGTATTTTACAGACCTCACTTCTTAGAGGCAGGACTACAGATACCTGTAACAGTGCCTAGGGTTGTTTCAGCTTAAAACCTTGCTGTGGACAAAACTTCTCAAAATTAGCATTCAAATACTTCTGGTTTCAGAGATGTCTTGGCACAGAACGCTCAGGGTCTGCTTGGGATTTGTTTTTTTGTCTTGTGTTTGCAATATGACCATTCACAATAGTAGAATTTAAATATCGATGTATGCTATAAATTTTTGAATGGTAGGATGTATAAGCACCCATATTTATAACATTAATTATCTTATATCCACTTCCGTAGGAACAAGACCATTTTGTTTTACTTTAACATTCTGAAATGTGCCAGCCCTGTAGTGTTAATAAACCTACAGTGCCCTACAACACAGGTGAGTGAAATACAGAGATAATATGTTTTCCCTGCCTCTTAGTCATGGTGCTTAAGAACTAGACATACAGTGTTTGGATTTAAAAATTGCTGCTCATATCCTTCAAAATATAATATGATTGTTTTATAGATTACATGTGTAGCACACAGTCTCTGTAGCCTGTGATAGTCAGAAAAAATAAATAGAAATGCACAAGATTGTGTATATTGGATAAGAGTTGACAAAAAAAGTCTGTTTAGTTGAATACAGCAATTTGATACTTATGAATTCATCACAGGCAGCTATTCACTAGTAATCAGTGCATGCAGAAAATAATTTTGATTGACGTCTAGGGTTTTCCAAACTAGACATGTTCAAGAAAATGTGCATATCCTCAGTGACAGGAGTATCGGGGTGTGGTTAGAGCCTATGGCACTTTCAGAAGTGAAGATCTTGAAAGCTTGTTCTTGTCTAATGCCACAATTTGTACTCTCTTAGCTGTGCTGCAACTTCTCGTGAAGCTGTGAAATAAACGCAGTCACTGAACTTGTGTGGGTTAAGATTACCCTCCTGATCTTTTTTACATGAGACCATTTTACTGATCTGGTTTGCTGAATAATTGCACAACCAGTTATGTCAGTTCATCTTATGAGGCAACAACTTATGGCATGGGGTAGGTCAGAGGAATTAGGTGCAGGACTGCTCTGATCCAACTTTGCTGCCAAAGTAATTGTACTGTGTAATTAAACTGCAGGTGACAGAGTATGGTCTCAGCCATCCTGACAACATTCAGTGAAGTCCAGTATTAATTTGGATGAGGGTTGTTATATGGTAACCAATTTACTGATTACAAATGTTAATTGTCTATTTATTTGACTATCATTTTAAAATGTTTCCCATTCCAGCTTGCCCTTACTCCTGATCCCTATCCTTGATAGATGTTTCTGGCCTATCAGTTAGTGTGACCGTATGGACTATTTGACACAGCTGAAGAGATGGAAATCTCCAGCAAGGAAGAGCAAGAACCCTCTTAACACTGACCAGTTGCTGTCAGAATGGAAACTTTCTCTATCAGCAGCAGATTTGCTTCAGGAATCCCCATCTGTCCACATGCAGACACCGACACTGTTACCCTGCAGTCTTTAGACTCTGTTACTGGAACAAGTCAGCCTGTTCAGAAATACTGAGGTCATTGTGTGGGATTTGACTGGTGCTGTGGTCAAGTTGGCAGTGGTCATGAATCAAGTAAGGTGAAATACTTGTTGAAGGAGAGTTTGGGGGAGCAGAGTAGTTATTTTGTTTATTTTCAAACATACATCATCTCCAAAACTGAGAATGTTTTTGAATGCTGTTTGCTACTGCAGATGGTTCATTCTCTGGTCTTTTGTGAAAATGCTGAAGAAACGTTTGTTTGATAATTCCTCTTTTGAACTGCAGACAGGGTCTTTCATTCCTGTCCCATTCATATCAAATAGCAGGAGAAAAAAAACCCAAGAATTGGCATGGGAGGAGCTTCAATTCTTGAGTAAGACTGGATTTGCAAACTGTTATTACAGTTCACTGGATCCATAGACAGCACGTTTCATTGCCTGTTTCATAGGTGGGAAACTGAGGTTATAGTAAAATGTATACTTCTTAGTCACCCGTTGTCCCAGAAAGGACAAAACTCTTCTTTCTTTGTTCCTTGGCCTGTGAGTAGTCCATAGGACTGTAGTACTCATCTAGAAAGACCCTCTTGCAGCATCTGCCATGTTCTAAGGATTAGTACAAGATCTTTTCCCAAAATCCCTTTACGTGAATCATATATGGTGGAATGCCCTTGAGGTGAAATACAGTTTCATGCACGATGTCTCTCTGGTGCTTGGATAGCAGAGCTTTGCAGAGGGTGTTTGGATAGCACAGCTTTAGAAACAGAGAACAGCCTTCTAGAAAAGGCTGAAACTTGCTAAAAAGATGGACTTCAAACTACCTCACAGTATTTAGGAACACTGAGGAGTCAGAACGGCTGTACACTTGCATGATTCCAGTGACCAGCAGAGCCTTCAGAGTCTGTGTATTGGAGCAGCTGCTTCTCCATTACGTAAATGTAAATCATGACTTCTGAGTAGATGCATTCATCAAACCCCAGTCCTCACCTGATTTCTCACATAAATCTGGTTTATAATGGCTGTACCTTGAGTGGTGTGAATTTCAGTCCTGGCATGTGCACCCCCTTGCTTTGTAACTAGAGGAGGTTCATCGTTAGTCAGTAGTAAAAAGCCACCTTTGAGTGATTTACACCTAAATTGACTTGAACGATATCTGTGGAGATGTATTTGACTGAAGAGACTGTGTAGAAGGGTGGAACAATTTTAGCTGCATGAGACTTTTTTTTTAATAAAGTTCTCCTTATAAATGTAATAGAAAGAAACGACGTGTGTCCTGTGAAAGTAGCTACTGCACCACCTTGCTCATATACACTGTTGCTGATGGAAGTAGAGGAGGACCCGACAGACTTTTTCCTGGTGTTCAAAAAAAAATAATATTTTTTTCGACAGACTGAAAGCTCTGCATATCTACCAGAATGTGTAGAACCTAAGAAGATACAGAGAGTGGCTTGATGTGCCATATATGAGGAGAGACTTTGAAAGTGTATTCTATCAAAGAATTTTAGAAGCATTCATCTAGGGAATCAAAAGGAAAACATATGTCCCTTTCTAAATACTGCAGTAAACATTACTGAAGGCAATTCCATAAGAACAATGCACTTTTATAGGTGGCCTTTTTCTTGCTTTTTAATTGTACTGACTTCCCTTACCCTCCTCTACCCCCAGTGTATTTTTACTCATTTTTTTTTTCTTTTCTTGCAGCTTTGTGTCTCAAAGTGCCCAGACAGGTTTGCAACCTACATTGATGTTCAGGCTTCCTACAGATATAAACCAGATCAGTGGAATTACTTCAGGCAGTTCTGCAAACCTGGTTTTAACAATCCTCGCAAGGTGTGTATGTATCAGTAGGTGATGGAATAATTTTTTTCTTCAAGCAATATGTAATATGCATGATTTTACTGAGCTACATCAAAGCTTTGAATTATTCTGATTTCACCATATGGAGTTGTCCCATATATATGGTTTGACAGTGATTTAATCAGGGGTGAAGGTCTTGTATGCACACCAAATCCCCCACTCTTTAAATGATTACTGTTTGCTTAAAAGAATATCTGCAGCTACCCATGTAGTTGCAGTACTGTGGCAAGCAGTATCCTTTAGTACTTAGGTACTTCACGGCAGTAAAGCAGAGTATCTCAAACCAGTTCCTAAGGCTCCTGAGTCATCTATAGCTACTTAGTAATTTAGCTAGGAAAATTAATCTATCCTTCATGTAACTGATTTTGCACTTAAATGTACTGCATTATTTCTCCCATCTTTAAAACACCTTGCAATTCAGCTGTATTAATTGTGCTAAATTCTTAGTCGTCTTTAAGAGAAAAGGTGAAGGGGAGGCAAGGAACAATTGCCCAGTCACTTCTGGCTTAGATGCTGATCCAAAGTGAACAGGTCTTTTCTTTTTTGTCACTAGAAAAGGAAAGCAGAATAGTCTTTTCCCAAGTCACAATGACAGTTTGGATTCTCACTTACATCATGCAAGTGTCTTGCAGCTCCACAGTCAAGTTCGGGGAGGAGGCTACAAAGCCTAGTTTGGGGCATTTTCTCAGACTGGGTGAGAAACAAAAAACACGTAGTTATTCTGCTATGTATTCAGCATTCCTATTTTTCCCCTTTTTAGTCTGTTGCTCAAGTCCTACGTGATGAAGATTGTCCTTCGATGATCATTCCAAGCAGGCCTTGTAAGTGGTTCTACTTCTTACACACATCTTAGCAGATTATAAGTGTTCACATTAAAGCACAACTCCAGTCTGAAAAGTGTTTTGTTGCAAGGTCACTAGGAGCTGTCTGTTATCTGACAGTGACGTCCATTCAATTTTAAACAGTTTGAAAGTATAAAGATTTATTATTATTTTTTCTAACTGCCATCTGTGAACATTCAGCGTGTGATCGGGTCAAGCTGAGCTGTTTCTTGCTCTTGAATCATCACTGGTAACAAAAGCTTTACAGTTCAAATTGTGCCTTCCAAAACATGTGAGCAAGCAATCCCATTGGCATCAAGAAAATGCCACGAATGTAGGAAGGAACACATGGCCAGCTGTTGAAGTTCAGATGATACTTGAGCCCCGTTACAATGCAGCTTGCTTTTCAGTTGCAGTGCTGGCTGTGCAGGGCATACAGAGGAATTAAGGGGCCAAAAAATGGTTTTGTCACTGTGGTCAGCAGGCATTTCTGAGTAGATAATCACAGGTCCCAGAGCTCATCTCAGCTGCAGAAGCATAATACCAAGAGTATCTGTCACTGACCCAGAAGTTCATGCAAATAAGAAATTGCTGTTTATTTTTCCATGGTTTAAAATAGTCATAATGTAAACCAGGGACAGGTTATCAAAAAGAGAAAATATGGATTAAATTTTTTTTAAAATTAAGAATTTGTATGAAAACTGAGGAACTGACCCAAAAGACAGAAAATAATTTGCAAAGAAGCTATTATCTTCTTTTAGACTACAACAAGGGGCAAAGATTACAGAGGGAGGAAGAGAGACATGTTACTTAATTATTTCCTCAGAATAATTGGTGGGGTAGATATTCTAGACTGAATATTGAACCCTGGCATCAGTATTGGTTGGAACCTGATAAGGAAAGCACAGAATTGTTATATAAAGTACAGCTGTGTAGGAGGTCTGACCTGCTCTTCCCTTTGGAATGAAAACCAGGACTTACTGCAGCAAAGAGCAGGGCAACATAAATGAGTATGTAAACATCTCTCCTTTTCTCTCTCTTTTATAATCTCCTCCTCCCTCTGTCTAACTAATAGTTTCTGTCTTTTTTCCATTGCTTCCTCTCCAAGAATATCTAGTGATAGTGGCTGGTCCTGCAGCTCATCTGGCATATAAGGAACAACTTGACACTTGCTGTTATGTGTTATTTTGAGTGCTAATACCATTTGTGACCAGTCATGTTGAGTCTGTCCCTGGGGGCTGGTTTGATTATTACCATGAAATGACATATTTGAGAAGCTGCAGTTTCTGTAAGCTGCCCAGATACTGACAGAGAGTAAGTTCCGCATTTATTACAAATTCTTAAACTGCTACAGATACTACTGTTGTTATTTGGTAGCACCTAGAATCTCCAGATGAAACCTATGATCCCACCATGCCTGAGCTTGGACAAAAAGCCCCAGAGCATAAAAATCATAATCTTGAATATAATGGCTCTTCCAAGATTTGTCAGAGTCAACATATCTTTAGATAATCAGTTGAAAAACAATTGACAGTGAATCTGAAATGATTTAAATATGTTGCAAAAGACAAGTGATAGAAGCGGAGCTCGACATGAAATGTAATATGCATGCTGTGTTTTCATATTTTGAATAGTTCTTAAGAGATGCTTCCCAGACTTCTCCACGAAGAATGGTGTGCTAACTGTGGCAAATCAGACTACGTTCAAAGATGGAAGAGGGAAAACAAGAAATGTAACTGATCTCAGGGAAGCTGCAAAGTAGGTTTTACCCTTGTTAAGTGCTCGTTTGTTGGATTCTGAGATTGTGAAATAATTTAGGAATTGAAAAAATAATCATAATCTGTTGTAGCAAGTGGCTGAGGGTACCCAAGGAAAACTTGCTAGTAAATGGTCTCTCTGTGCCTGGGCACTTGCAAAGTTCCAGTAAGGAAAACCAGCACTGTGGTATGCAGAAATGAGCACAGAGCCAAAAGTTTTAGTCTGATTGTCTCGGAGTGACTGTCAGTTTTTAAATAATTCTTGTTTTTCCTAGCAAAAATTAGTATTAAAGAAAGCTAAAGGAGGTTCAAAATGAAATCCTCATGCTGCAGGACTCAGGCCAGCCAGTAATGGCCTCAGCGATTCCTTCCTATGATGGCCTTTCCATTAACATGGACTGTCCTAGTACTTTGGGCATCTCACCTCGTCAGAGTGCTCCTGTTTTTAGTACATGTCTAAAGATCAAAAAGCAATGTACTGGGCTCTGATGCATTACAACACCTCCCTTGCAGATGGACAGCAAGTATCTCCAATCCTGGGCATCAACCAGGATGAGAGAAAACTGCTGCAATAGCCTCACTTTGCCAGCTGCTGTCAGTCCTCAGCCCGTCTGGAGCACAGGCTTACCTCTCAATCCAAGGCTACCACATTCTAGCACCTTGCCAACACTGATAACACCTGCACCTTATTAAGTTCCATTCTTCTGGCATCTAAAACGACATTGTCTGTTCTTCGATAAGATGATCCTTCATTTCTTCTTAGGAAAACATAAATATGGGCAAGCACTTTGCAGGATAGGAAAACAATTCCATAAAGTTAACCTTTTGCTTCACTGAGCTGTTTTCTGCTTCTCTGCTATTAGCAGTTCTAAAGTCACAACTGTTTGGCTCTTGGTACATTGCAGATCTTAATAGTATACACTTTTCTTGTGGCATAATAAGCAATTCTATCTGGCGATAGTTGGTATTCATAAAGCTTTTTCAGGAGCTGTATAGACATTTTTACACAGTTTTTTTTCTTTGGCGTAACTGTGATTGATGTTGGCTTGGTTACAGAACTGGAGCTGGAGGATAGTAATATACTCTTATCACTAGCAAAGATATTTCAAATTCTTTCACTGAGCCTATCTGTTGTTTAAATAAATTCTGCTTTTCTACCTAAAGTAACCTTTTCTTTGGTTTGTCTTTTCTCAGCGGCATCAATAATGTCCTGGATGCAAGATCAGTTGGAATGAAAATTTTTGAAGACTATGCCATTTCTTGGTATTGGATTTTAATGTAAGATTTTCATGGGTATTTTTAATTTTTCCAAACTCACTTTGGAGCATGCAGGGAATTAAAAAATAGATCATGTATGTGTTTGTTACCAATCCTACTTTTAAACTCAAGGAGCAACTGTAATTTCCTTTCATCACATGATAATAACGTTGTTATGGTTCTGTACATGAGGTAAGGATAGCACAGCATACATACATAGAGTGTCAGTTGATCTGGGGTAGCTTTTTAATATCCTACCAGGCAAAAAAACAGGAGGTGGTGTCTTCTGTTGCAGGACTCATCTGCGTGGTAATTCTAAAACTGAAAAATCTTAATTAAGAAACTTTCAAACCAATTGCAGTTGCTAAGTGTCATTACTATATATAAAACCCACATAATTTCTAAATTCATACTAGCAATATGTTAAATCCATTATAATCCATAAATCCAGTATAAATCCATAAATCCAATGCAGCAGGCAAAGCAACATCAAGAACAAAAAGTATTGAACAGTATTAACTTTATCTTGCAATTAATACTAATCACCAATTAGTAAAAATGCAGCACTGAAACAAAAGAAGTAGCTGTTTTGCTGAAGCAAATATATAAGCATATGTGCATTCTTAGCCCATTAATACTGGTTTTGATGGACCAGGGTGTTGATCAATTTAAACAGGAGCAGAAGTCTTTGCCAGGTGAGAGCCTATAACATGCACATATTAAGCATACGTTATTTGAGCCTGAATGCAAATCCACAACAATAAATACATAAACTTTAGATAATAAACTTAATATGGAGAATTAGTCAGTTCAGTAACATAAGTTGTCAGCTTTTAAAGGTGTTCAATCACTGGTGGGAGGACAGCTTTCTCACAGTCTGATACTGTGCTCACAATAGTCAGTGGCAAGAAACTCACTGGTATTCAGCAAGCTCAGTTCTCTCTAGATCTCTTACTGAAATCAGGCTTATGGTGCAGATTCTTTCAAAGGAGATAGCACTGAACAGATAGGCTGGAGAGAGAATTGACCATTTTTTGAACAGAAATTCTAAATACTGAAGCCAGTTTCCACATTTCAAATATGATATTTTTATAAGGAATTGTTGCTACTTTTAAAGTATTTGGATAGAATTTTCTTCACACTTTTCATCAAATGATAGCATACATGAAATGATTTCTGGACAAACATATTTAAGTGCCAGAGTTTGGGTGATGACAATGAAGGCCTGATAGTGAAAGGAGGCTGGATTAAAAATTAAATATGGAATTGCTCTAGTCTTTTTAGCATACCCAAAAAGAACTGCTGCTTTCAAGCCTCAGTTTAAGGGAACCAGTCTATTGAGGACAGTTGTTACCACATACTCAGTTTTGGTGTTACTAGGACTCGTGTATATCTAAAGATAACTTTAGATAAAGGTAACTTACTACTTTCAAGAATAGAGTCATAAGCTCCAAAACGACAACTTTTTTTGAGGAATACATTCTGAATTTCAAACAAGCCATTCAGAAAGGGAAAATACATCATGCTAGGAAGCCTTTAAAGGGCTAGGACTTAAGACCAGCTTACAAAGGTTTAACTAAATAAGCTGATGTTCTTTTTCTTGTCCCTGTGCCCATCTGGCTTAGTTTGCCCAAAACATCTGGTTTTGATTGTTTATGATCAGGCTGACCCATTTTTTATCTTTGGTAACTGGCTAAATAAGCTGGGAACGTTCAGAAGAGAAGTTACTGAACACGAGAAAGAAGAGGTTTTAACTTTTTTTGAGTCTGTACTAATACAAAATTCTGATGTAGCACCTACTAAAAATTCTGAGAAATGAAATGTTGTGTGAAGCATCTGAGCTGGATGTTTGTTGGATGGGATTATTATTCACATTGCTTTATTCACATTGCTTTATTCACATTGCTTTATTCACATTGCTTTATTCACATTGCTTTAGAATGATGCCTCACTGAGTAAAAAGGCCTTTTGCAGTCATTTTTTCCTTCCTGACTTGCTTTCTGGGAGTGAAATGAAGACAAATATTTGCTTACCACAGTCTTGATAAAGAGAAGACACTCTGCAGATGTCTTTCCTAGGGGCCCCATTGATAGCTCTTAACAGTTTCTTTTTATGCATCACAATGCCGTGATCATTTCCTCTTCTGATGGGTAGAAAGAGTCACTGGTTTTCCTCCTAAATTTAATTCTTTTTTCCTAGGAAAGCTCCTAGAACTTTACTTTACTAACATTGTTTCTTTGCAAGTAGGGATTTTTAATGGAGGACATAAACCAGCAGCCTCCCCACACGTAGGTATTCCTCCAATTTAACTTCCTGTTCTGTAGACTAGACCATGGCCTGAAAAAGGCAGTGAGTTGTTCAGCTGGTGTAAATGACCAAAAAGGCATTGTACTAGTCCCATTTCAGCCAACCTGAGAACCTAGTGTATACAAACATTTCTGGCTCTGCCCTGTGAGATCATCATATATAAGCTATTTGTTTCTAATAGCAGATAATAGCCATGAGGATGTATTTCATAAGGAAGATTTTGAAATACATTTTTACAAATCATTCTCTTATGTGAGGTGAAGTGACCCTCATTTGGAGTAACAGGCATGCCAGGAGGTGAAGATTCTCACACTTGTTTTCCCTGTGTTTCTGTTTCTTGTCTTTCTAGTGGGCTGTTCATTGCAATGATTGTGAGTCTGCTCTTCCTTGTGTTATTGAGGTTCACGGCTGGGGTTCTCTTCTGGATTTTCATCTTTGGTGTGATTGGAATTATAGGTTATGGTAGGTGTAATCTTCTAGCCTCTGAGGCTATTTTTCTTTATTGCTTAAGTTTGGGCAAGGAAAATCAGTAATTACATCAATAAAATGGTACAATTGGGAGAATTAATGCCTAGTTTTAGACACAGTTAAGTGAGAAGGGCTTAAATGGCAGCGAAATTTAGTAAGATCCAGCTGTGCTGATACTCAGCACCAGATGTAGTAACCTGGATTATTTACCCACAGTATGCTTAGTCTGTATTCACTTGTACTGATATTTCTTTTCTATGTATGTGGTGTTATAATTGACTAGTCTCACAGTAATGCATTTTTGGTTTTTGCTTACCTGACATGCTGAAGACAAAACACTTGGCTTGTAAAAGACTTTTTTAAAAAACTTGTCTTTGCACTCTTCGGAAACACTCATTTTATACTGATTGCTTTTTAAAAGGCATCTGGCATTGTTACTGGGAGTATGACCATCTTAAAGGAATACCTGGATCTGACCTCACTGTTTACGATATTGGATTCCAGACAGACTTCAGAGTGTACCTGCAACTGAGGCAAACATGGTTAGCATTTAGTAAGTGCCCTTTAAACTTGGTATCTGTTAATGGATATTCAGGAGAATCAATCACTGTCTTGCCACAGTTTCTGCCTTGTTAAATCTCCTCCTCTACGTATGTCGCTCAGAGAAGTAAGCAGAATTCTCTTTCTTTGTATCATGCAAAAGTCTACTTTTTTTGCAAGGAGACTAGTATATTTGTAAGGGGAGATAATGCAATTGCACTAGTGATAGTGAAAAATGCCCGTTACTAGCATTCCATTTCCTGTGTGTTCAGTCTTCGTAATGGGGAAGTAGAAGGCAATAACTAAGTTAGTCTTGATGAAGTTGCATAAGGAGGAGCATTTTTCTCTCCCAGTCTGTTTATTCTCCCTCTTTAAGGGCCCCAGAAATGAGATTAATAACTCTACACATCTTTGTAGAACTGTTTAGATTCAGGTCACTGAATTTTCTTGGAGGTTGATCTAAGACTGTGGAATGAACCATCACAAATTTCATCACCTTTATTTTCAAAAGTGTTTCATTGCCTTCTCTTACAAGGGCAGTGTATTTAAAAGAAAATTCTACTGGAACAAGACAGCCTGCAGCATATACATCCCTCCCCGGGGAAGGAGGGGCAGAAGAGAGGACAAATACCTGTCAAATATTACTTGCACTGCTGTTACTGCTCTGTTAGAAGGCACACAGACACAAACTGATGATGAATGGAACATAATCTAAAACACTGCCTCTCCCTATTGGTAGCTAAATTAATAGAGCAGTAGTTTACTGCTTACGTCTCCTTTCTCTGCTTTGTGTCTGCATTTAACTCTGTGTTGGATCATTGAGCTCATGAGCCATCTTCTACATATTGTTGAGGCAGACCTTTTTAGTATGCTATCCCTAGAGAATATTAGGACTTTATTATGTTTTTCCTTGTAACTCTCCAAGCCATTCCCCTGCCTGATTCTTAGCAGCCAATGTATAGTTTATCTAGAGGTCAGTGTCACATTCAGTGAGTAAATTGAGGTACTCAGGAATTAAATTACTTTTCCAAAGTCACCCAGCAAAGCAGTTAAATATCCTTGAAGAAAACGTAGGTCCTCTTAGTCCTGGTCTAGAACTCATCATGTACTGACATTGCTTTACTTTTTTACAATGTTTGGGACAAGCTACATTAACTTAACAGAGCTGAACTGGAATGTGACCAATTTTAAAGAAACCTGATCATGTATTCCTTCATGGGGAACCGTATCAAAAGTAGGTGCTGAAACACATGTAACAAAAACCTTGTTCTGAACAAAGTCTGTGGCTCTGAGGACCACAGCGGTCACTTGCCACCTGCAGTTCTGATGGCTAGGGATACTGATAATACTTGGGATTGCAATTTAATGTCATCTGTGACTATCTGGGTCTGGATTCTGAGACTGTCTGAGCTGTGGGACCTGAAGCCAATTCCCATGTCCCTTTGCAAACCTCCAGACAAGCCAAGGCTTAGGGATAATATCCCTTCTGTCTTCCTCTCCCTCCACAAACTTCTTGGTTTCAGCTGGAGGAGACAGGTCCTGCTGCATGCAACCATCCACAACTGCTGGGCTGGTTTAATTATTGTCTAACTGTCCGAAGCACCCAGAATTAATGGATATGTCTGAGAGTCAGAGGAGATGTGCTTCAGGCGTTAAAGACTCTGTCTTCTCTAGATGAAGCCCAGAGAATTTTTTTACTTTCTACTGCAGAAGTAGGTTTTGAACTGACACAAATATAAATCAGACTGAAGCAGACTCTTTAAACCGGATCTGGGTTATGATTCAAACACTGTTCATAACTAAGAGAGGAAATGTTCTGGGACATGGTGCTCTCAGCTCTTTGACCTCAGAGCAAGTTTGTATGATTCCAGCAGCACAACTGGAAGGTGAAAGTAATTTGTCCAAAACTGTCCTATCTTAGCCTCCTCTTTTTTTTCACTCAAATGAGGTGAAAGGAGGTCATGCCAGGTTAATACTCAAACAAACCTATTGATTTCAGTACATCTAAATGTTAGAAAAATATATATCAGAAAAATGCACTCATGAAAATTGTTGACTCTTCATTGCCTTTTTATTTATTTTATTGTATCTAAATACTACGAATTAGCAGCATTAGAGTATGAACATGCAAAATGCTTGTTTATGAAAAGTAGAATTTGGTAAGGGTGAACTGTATCTAAGGCCAAATGCTAGTCACATTTAAGTAAATTATTATCTTTGAGAATGAAATGTTCCATTTTTATTCTAAAATTATAAATGCTAATGTCAGGGTCCTACACATTCTGACTAACTCTCTGCATGTAAATTTCCCTACGCTGGAACTTACAAAACTATGAAATAGGATTGAAGATTAGTAGGTGCAGTGAGAGAAAGAAAGAATGCTTTAGCAGAGAATTTTATGGAGTTCGTGAACAATATTGTATAATACAAGGAAAAAAAAACAATTTACAGAGGCAGCATATTGGTTCGATTCTTGATAAACCTAACTTTTTTGTTTGTTTACAGTGATTATACTTTGTGCTGTTGAGGTCATAATCATACTGATGCTGATCTTCCTAAGGAATCGGATCCGGATTGCTATTGCACTGTTGAAGGAAGGTAGTAGGTATGTTTGTCTGATTTTAATATATTTTGAATTTTATTAAATGAGCTCTAGAGTACACTCTTCTTGAGCTTCATCTTGCACTACCAAGGGCAGAAAGTTGGGGTTAAAGTACAACACTGGATTTGTTGAGCTGAACAGGTAGTATAAGGAATGCCAGTTCTGTTTTAATGAGGCTGTGCTTATAAGAGCTTTCTCTTTTGCAGTAAGACTTTTCTTCTCTCTCAGCTCCCTGCCTTAAGAGTACATATACTGTTAGTGGTATGACGTATCCTCAGTGCAAGAAGGTGTATCAGCAGAAATGCCAAGTGTGGTACACTGTTAATAGGAGCCTGGGACCTATAGCTGCCAACTTTGCTCTGTCATTGGATTGTCTCTGGAGTGACATACTAGTGGTAGAGGATTGGTGTTGTTTTGGCTGGGGCTTTTATTTAGGAAAGACTGGATTCTTCTGGCTCCAATCAAACTTTGTGGGGACATGCATAAATCTGCAGAGAGAAAAGGAGACTTCCATGACCAGACGTTGTCATATGCTGCAGTCCAAGACACTTCTTTTCAGCTCTGAGTACAGAAGAAAGCAGAGCAGGATATGAGAGTTGAAGGCCTAGGAGACCTCTTTGTTTTGTGTTTCCTGAAATCTGTGACTTTGTTCACAGTGGTTCCTGTTTTACACAGTGCCAACACTTAGTTCTTTTTTTTTTTTTTTTTTGGAAAATGGGAGTGTAACAAAAGAGAAATGGACTTAAAACATCAGGCCATTGGATTTCATTGCAAATAGGCTAAGGTCTCATAGGCCTTGGAAGTAGAGCTCTGTTGTTATTTGCTCTGCGTTTATGTACACTTGCTTGTAGTTTTCTGCCACCTCCGTTGACATTGTGGCTCTCAGGAATCAGGATTTGGGATTTTTGTAATGGGATTAAGAAATACTGAAGTTCTGTATTCAGCCAGGTACCTGTTTCCTGTCTTATGCTACTGTGCAATTAGAGCATAGCAATTAATTTTGGCAGCACTAAATTATACTCTTTAATTCCTGCTCATTAAAATCCAGGAACACTTTTAGCACTCTGCAACACTTTTGTTCACAACCTTGACAGGTAGAAAGATTTCAGAAAGTTCATAAACTTC